ATTTTCGTACGAATCGATGTTCATGGCCAAGTGCGTGTTGACGAGGACGCCCACACCGCCAACGCCTCTGCTGTCGCATGTTCCGAGGAACAGTTCTTCTCCAGTCTCGTATACGGCGTGTAGCGGGCGATGCCTCCTCGTCTCGGTCAGTCCGATGACGTCGTACTTGATCTTCCTGGCTTGCAACATCAGATCTTCGATGTGAGCTTCCGATGCAAGCGTCCGTGCGTTGAAAGTACAGATCGTCATCCTAGTCCTGGGCGACTTAAATCTCCGTTGGCCCTGTGATTCTTGCAGCCGAGCGGTCCCAGCCGACGTCGCCCTGTCGGTGGTTCCCTCAGGTTCAGGGGAATGAGGCCCATAATTATTACTGTTTTCGGCGAGAAGAAATTTGACCACGCGTAGCTCGCCAGGCTCTGACGTGGCACCCTCCGCATTGGTACGGTTTGGAACAGTCCAAACCGTTCACCCCCACGCCACGTTGAGGCTGCGGATAGGATTTGTGGGGGATGGAGCTCATATAATACGTAATCTAATGGTGAAGAAAAAACAGAAAAAAATTATGGAAAATGCCCTATAGGAGGATACCCTATGGGACTCCATGCTGACTAGGTGGGCGGAGCGGCCGACTCTTCACTAGCGAACGGCGCTATCCTCTCGCCTTTTTGAGATGCAAAACTAGTACATACTGCATCCTCATAGGGAGAGCTATGGCATCCAGAGAGGCACGGGAACATCAAATCAACGTGGGAGCTGCTTTTAAGGCGAGGAGAAGGTGCGCTCGCACGAGTTTTCACTTGTTGTCAAATCTCAACTGGGCGCAATTTCTATAAGGGGGGGGGGGTATGTGACAAGGCAATCACAACATACCGCACTACAGGGTGTTATGAGCGATGCTGCGCAAACAGAAGAATTGTCCTGCGTTGAACTCCAGTGTTATAGGCACGGGAAAATCTCGTTGCCCGTCATGTACTCTTGTCTCCGCTTGGATTCATATGAATTTCCCTGCATCAGTTGACAGATTGATACACTGCGATCGCATACTTTTGCCGCTCATCGCCGCAGGTGTGCGGCAAAATCTCGAATCGCGTGCAACGTCGGAGAAAAACACGTTTGTCTTGTCGGTCCACTCCACAAGGTGACAGGGCACGTCATAGTTGCGGATTTGGTCGAGTCCGTGCGACCCCCCCCTTTTTTTTCTCGGAGTTGGTACAACAAGAACGACACCCTCTGGTTCCCTCCTCATCAAGTTGTCGAATGGAGGGGGTAAATAGCACATGTGAAACAGGAAAAACACCGCGAGGAAAATACGACCGAGAAGGGGGGTATGTAGTACCCGCGAAAAGGAAAGAGCACGAAATTCAGGGAAACCTCTCTCAGGAGGTCAGAAGGGAAGTACGTCCCCCCTCTCTCAGCGACCGAATACGACCCCCCCCCTGTTGGGGAATCCCCAACGACGATGTGCCTTGCAAGATGAGAGGTTTTGGTGCAATAGTTCGTGCGCGGACTACGGTAACCCCAGTTTTGCACATAGATCGTGAAAGACGATCAGCGTCGGGCGCATTTGCTGCTTCGTGTAAAAAGTCGTGATTTTAAATGCGTTGCATGTTCCACTTTGTTCCAATGTGCACCAAAATGTACCAGTTTATTAAGATAGCACCTTCAGTTATTGTCTTCAGTAATAAGGTGAGCTTTCTTTTCAGGATAAACGACGACTTCTACTACAGTATACCGCTACAGTAAAAGAGGTCGAAGTTATCAGCGGGCAACATTTTAAGATGATTAATATGCCTTTTATGGAAGAACATGTAATGAAATTACACGTTAATACTGAACTATGGTAGAAATCATCTTTACTAGGAATATTTGTAATTAATGAAAATATAATTGTCCTACTTCTGAACACTTACTAAAATAAAAGTTATTCCGTGGTAGAACTATCATGTTGTGTAACCGCATGTCGTTTTTTCAATACTACTTCTATAGAAACAATATTTTCTTGCAATGCGTTTTCTGGCGAATCAGTGATATGGTACAGTGGTTAAAGCCTCGCGCAGTCTACGGACCGCAAGTTCAAGTCCCTCGGCCGCTGCCCTACCTTATAGGGTTAACTGCTTCCCGTAGCAATCCATCTCTAAGCAGGTTGAAATCACAATTGAAGTCACAAGCTGGCGATCCTCAGGGATTTGCTTAGCCGTGTAATTACTCGTTGCCTAAAGCAGTGCGCACATGGGAGTAAGGGGGCGGTTTCGGCAACGCACTAGTGAAACTGATTACGAGAGCCGGCCCCACTCAGCATTCACGAATGAGGATTGGCAGTCAAGTCGCGCGCCTTCCCAACATTCTTGCCCAGCTGCCTTTAAACCATTTGGTTTTTTTTCTACAGCCAATTGAAATTATTTCAGGACCGTGTCGAGTGCCGTTTTGGGTCATATAATAGCGCGGCTACCTTTTTAGCGATGATTAATGGCAAACTTATATTTAAGCTTACTTGGATGTCCCGAGCATGTTAGATAGCGTTCATATTCAAAACCAGCGTTTGTCAAGGGGCCCACCCCTTCAAAGGCAGTTGGCACAATGGTTTCCTACTCCGCCTAAAAAGCTAGTAAAGCTGTATCGTGGGAAGTGGGAAAAACAGGTGGGTCAAAATCCTGCGAAGAAAAAGCCTCCGTTCTCAGTGACTTGAAAATCGATTTCGGACGAGTTTCCGTAGGCATCTTACCAATCACCGCTACCGAAGATACGGCTGCATATGTGTACCCATGTATGCATGCAGCATCACGGCCGCTTCATACCAATTCCTTTCGGTTTATAATTTTTAGCAAAGAAATGAATACGAGCGTCAGGACGGACTGGTCTATGGGGCGGGTCGTTGGGTAAGTGTGCATAGATAGGGCCTATTAAGGGGCACCTCCCTCGGGGTAACCTTGTCCATTAATTCGTGAGGTCTTGCCTGCCAGGATTATGTGATTCCGAGTCATCTGTGGCGGGATTTCGTGCCATACTGCCATTAACAAAAACGAGGTGGCTATTTTGGTGTCTTCTTATAACTCAGCTTCATTTGTGCACCGGCGTCTCTGGCGTACGATCTTCCAACGAATTTTTTTCGAACGTTGCATTCGAAGTTTGGTTTGCCGTCGTCACACATATTTCACTTCGTTAGCAGAGCAGCGATTATGAAGATTGCATCATTGTTATGATGATGATGATGACAAATAATCGCCAAATGTAGGTTTGTTCGGTTCTGGTGGGGGAAAGATGGTGTGGCTAAATAGGAAACGTGCGCTGGCTCTTCGTGACACAATAGGACATCGATAAATCACCTATCGCGTGAGTTTAGCTCCAAACACAACTTTCGGTGAAAAGGGAGGTGGGGTGGCATTGGCGCCAGAAGCTGTTCCGTTACTCACAAACAAATTTCATATTCAAACATGCCCATTCCGCATGGTCAAAGTACCCGCGAAGGAACGGTAGGGCGGTCGAATAGGTACCAAAATTGCGGGTCTCTCACGAGGCTTGCGGTCCTTATCGTTAAATGGAAGTGAGTGTCGATGGTTCGAAATATCCTACTATATATAATCCGCTAAGTTTGTCTGTTGGTGTGTGTGTGTGTGTGTGTGTGTGTGTGTGTGTGTGTGTGTGTGTGTGTGTGTGTGTGTGTGTGTGTGTGTGTGTGTGTGTGTGTGTGTGTGTGTGTGTGTGTGTGTGTGTGTGTGTGTGTGTGTGTGTGTGTGTGTGTGTGTGTGTGTGTGTGTGTGTGTGTGTGGTGCTTGACCGGAAATTCATAACTTTCTTCAAAATAGCGATAAAGCGCTCAAATTCATAAGTGATGTAGGGGGTCGGGCAGGAACATTATTGGTGGGTGGCAGGAAGTGATAAGAGCTGATAAGATACCATACCGGGGCTTAGAAGGGGAGGGTCACCAACTCCATAGCGCGGGCCACAGCAGCGATGGGGCGTTGGTTTCAAGAGGTAAGATAGGGTGCAGATGGAACATTTATTGTGGGGACAAGCATGATAACTAGCTGATAAGATAACACGAGGCGGGTAAGAAGGGTTAGTTGCCTGATGATCGTAACGTCCGCACAGGTAACGGCAGCGGGGCGTTAATTTAAGAGTAAGATGGGGTGAGGGATGAGAAACTTATTAGTGGATGACAAGCCATGATAACAGGTGATAAGATACCACAAGGGGGCTTACAACGAGAGGGCCACCAACTTCATAGCGCTGTTCACGGCGGAGGTAGAGCGTTGCTTCAAAGAAGTGATGTAGGGGGCGAAGGGATAGGATCATTGTTGATGGGTGGCAGGAAGTGATAACAGCTGATAAGAAAGCATAAGGGGCTTCAGAAAAGGAGGGTCACCAACTTCATTGAGCGGGCCACAGCGACGGTAGAACGTTCCAAGAAGTAGAATAGAGGGCAGGATGGGAACATATATCGGTGGGTGGCCGGAAGTCATAACAGCTGATCGGCTGATAAGATACCATAGTTGGAGAGGAAGCCTTAAAAATTCATAACAGGAATTGTGGTAACACGGGATCTGCTTCTAGCACGTAACTCGGGAATTGGTTTTACGAGACGAGTTGTGTGGACTAGATTTTGTAGGCTAGAATCAATGGGCAAAGCCGTGGTGAGTTAAGATGTTTTTTATTTTCCAGGATGTGGTTGGAGACGACCGCCTAAACACGTTTCGAATTAAAAAGTATATAGCTCGAAATTGTTTGCCATTGAGGAAATTACATTCTATAAAGCAGACTAATTTGTGTTCGGTTTGTCGGTATGAGTATTGTATGTATGTATGGTATGTCGGTTTTGTATGTTGTCCGTTCGCAAACTGCTTTACGGGGATTAATACGGTTAGTGAAGAAAGAAACGACGCAGTAGCCAAACTGGGAACCCATCGGTGGAGATGTATCAATCCAATGTTTTGATTGTGATAACAGCATATATAAGACAACCACTCGGTACACTCCGAGCCATTGCACGAGCTGCTGCCGTGGCAGCTGGACGTGTGCTCGTGCGGGGGCAGGGTGGGGGTGCCAGGTCGCCCTGCCTCCCTCTCTCCTCATTGTGCTCACGCGAGCTGAGAGAAATGTATTGGAAGGGAGGCCAGAGGAAAGGGTCGCGACGGGGAGGGAGGGGTAAGCAGTGAGGGATTGCGTAATAGCGCGGCGGTCAGATTGAAAAGGCACATCTCAATTGGGATGAGGAAACAACATAAAACGAAACTGTAAAGTCCAGATCGTATGTTACCGTATACGAGACTTAAGATAGTTGTTTCGGTTGTGAATTACACACTCTGCAACTGTATAGAAACCACTACACTCCGAGGCATTCACGGGTTGCTCGCGTGGCACAGTTGGCGTAAGCGCGATAGCAAAGGGCAAGGTATAGGGGAGGAAGTGGGGCGAGTGGGGGGATTATAGCAGGTGAATGTGGAGTAGCGAGTACGGAATGGGGTGAGGTGAGGAAGGTGGGAGTTAGTATCGAGTGACCCCTTCTCCCATCCTCACTTCCTTGCGCGTACTCAGTCGGATGAGCCCATGCAGGGGAAGGAGGCATATGGATTGAGTCGGGCAAACTGGGTACAGTAAGGGGATGCGTAGCGTACGCTTGAATAGGAGCAGGCGGCAAGAGAGAAGGAAAGAACCCCTAGCAAAAATCCATGTTACAGCAACGAAACTAGAAGCTGTTTGAAATTGTGAATATCTCCATATCTAAGCCACAACCCGTGTGATAGACTGCTGTGCTATTGAGCAGTGAGCTGTCGTTGTGGGTGCTGGCCGACGCCGAGGCACGACGCAAATCGGGCGGTAAGAACGAGGTGGCGGCGCGAGTGCTCCCTATGATTGCCCAGCCACTCATCGGTGGCGCCTGCAATCAGTGCGGGAGTCGGGGCCAGTTAAATAGGGTAGCTGGGATTTATGATGTTGGTGAGGGGGGGGATCAGCTGGAGAACGGCCATTCGCGTCAGGAACACATAGCGCTGGGCGGTAGGCGTCTACGGTTGCGATAAGATGCAGAAGAAGTGGATCGCCGCATGAACCTGACCGATTAAATGATTATCAAATTGGCTAGCTGTTTGATAGTCATAAACCTCCACAACATAACAAAACCTTTCATCACTTAGTGCACGTCAGAACCATTGCACGGGCTTTCGCGCAGCAGCTGAGCGTGACCTGTAGGGTGGCTGAGCGGGGAATGGCTGAGGTTAGTTTGGGGATAGATGAGGTGAAGGCGGTACATAATTGCGACGCGACGACGTCGCCTGAACAGGAGCATCAGAGGACTATTGCCGGAGACTGACAAACATCCATTATGCTGCTTTGTCATGAGATGGGGAGGAGTAGAATTCGCATTTATCCATGACCAGATTTTTGAACTGGTTCATATGAAAGTGCCCTGCGATCATATGGCGCGTTTCTACATTCATTTGATTAGAAGACAGCGATTAGTCACGACTCTAAAGCAGTTGCATGAGCCCGGCGAAGCCGGGCTTCCAAGAAGGAGGAGAGCTCGGCGTTAGCCGGGCGATCCGACTGGTATAATATACATATCGTATAGTAGGCTATATCAAAGTTGAGAAGAAGTACTAGGACGGTATTTTACACTTCGATTCTGATATTGTTACATTTGTGATATCTCTTTGTTCAAGAGCTAAGGTGTCCTATTTTAAAAACTAATGTGTTGGTGTTCTCAGTTTTGATAAGCAGCGACGAGGCAAATGTTATTTAAGAAAGAGGAAATTGCAATCAATCGGCCATATATGAAAGGAAATTAAGCCAAGTCGGGTAGCGGGTAACGCAATGGATCCGACAGTGACAATCTGTTAACATGCGCGCCAGTAGGTGGCGACACCACGGTGCGTGTTTCGATAAAGATATCTATTCGAATGGCAAGTTACTCGCAAAAATGAACTAAAAGCTAAGTTCAGTAGTTAAAGACTTGCCGTTTAACTGCCACAAATGTTCGCGATTTTCCATTATTTTTCGTGCATCATCACAGATAAACCCACCGTAGATCGATTCTGCTGTGAAAAAAAACAGGTGTCGGTATAGAAAGACAGTGCACGCGATTAGAAGCCGCTCGAACCCTGTTCGTCCCCACTATGAGCATGACCCACTTTTGCGATTTGAAAGTGCATGATAGAGGTGCCACGGTTTGGCGACGATAAGCCAACTCCGCCTCCGTGAGCTGAATTCGCTTTCACCATATCCTTTTGACATAGCTATGGATCGTTGAGATCTCGGATCATGTATAAAGTCTGGTTCGCGGCGGATGAGAGGCGAGTCCGAGCGGCTGCCTTTGGCGCTGCCGTGGTACGGAAGGCAGTAGCTCTCCATACTTCTCCAACGACGCATCCGAGCCTCGCGAGTCCCGTTTCCCCAAGACTCACGTCTGCCCTCTACACTACAACACAGGATGAAACTACTCACGTTTATTACGGGACGGTAACGTCTGCCAATCCACCCTACACTCACATCCGCCGTGGTGCATGGTCCTCATCTACCCACCGACGATTGGTGACGTCAGTGGTAAGGCAGTAAGCGGCGCCCCGTCGACTACCAAGAGCAGCTGGCGCCATTCTTGGCTGCGCGAACGTCCATCCTCCGCAGCACCAGGTACTGCTCCGGCCGTCTGCTCCATGGATGCCAGGCATCCTCACTCCTCCCAGCGGGAGAGAAGAATTGAGATTAGCTCTAGGTTGGCCCGAGAGCCTTTCCGCTTCTAGCGGCGGCGGGTGCAGCGCGTGTTTGGCCTGGAGCTCGACGGAGTTGCTGAAGCGTGAAAGTGACAACAACTGCTGGAAAATGACTGATACGAACTGTATGACACAGATTCGCTTGCTGGCAGAAAAAAAGAAAAAAACGGGTTGGTGAAGCGCGAACGCAGCCGCGCTGGCACGTCCCATCATCCGCAACACTAGAGCCCCTTGCCACATCATTATCTGCTTCTCTGTTTCGCACATAGTCTCAGCCCCGTATGCTCATGTATGCTCAGAGGATGCAGGGCTTTTACTTTGGGCTTTTTGTTTTTCTTTCCTTACTAATGTCTCACTAGCCACATGATCTGATATTCTGAGCTCTACTACCTGGAAACTGTGATTTCAAATGCTGCTTCCGCTGACCCGAGCTTACGTAGATTCTGATTTTCTTCCTACAACATGTCGCATTAAACGTTACCATCTCACTACGGGCTCCCTCATCAGAACCCAATCAGTCCCGCCCCCATGTTTACGCGCTGTTCGCGTGATGGGACTTTCGAAAAAATGTGTCTCTTGGGAATCTCGATTTTTTTGCGCGCGCAGTTGTGAACCTTGTGTGGGGGAGACGAGAAATCAAAATATTGTCCTCTAAAAAATCTCCTAAAAAAATAATCTAATCTACTATAATCTATCACCCCATCACCCCATATATATAATTCGCTTTGTCTGTTTGTTTGTTTGTTTGTTAGTTTGTTTGTTTGTAAGTTTGTTTGTTTGTAAGTTTGTTTGTTTGTAAGTTTGTTTGTTTGTTTGTAAGTTGTTTGTTTGTAAGTTTGTCTGTCCGGAAATTCGGTTCGACCTGAAGAACGACTTGGAGAGGTCCGGTCAAGGTGGGGATGGGTAGGGCGTGGGACAAGAAATAAAAAGCACACTTGACCTAAGGGAAGCTCCGCCCACAGTGGGCGGGGCACTCCCCGAAAGTTTGGGGTTCCGCACAAAAATGTTCATAATTCGCTTCCGGAGCAGCCTAAAGATGGGGAAAAAGGGAATAAGGTTAGTAAGGAGTCGCCAGACTAACTGTGGCAGGTACACCCTAAATGGGCGGGGCGTACTCAAGGTGGGCGGTGCTTCTCGCAAAATTCAGTAACCCGGTTCGCGAGAGTGTTTGGAAGTCGCAAAAAGCTCAGTGTAGAATGTAAATATCTGGCGAATATAGGGCACGCTCAAAGTGTGTTGAGACCCGCCCACAGTGGGCGGGGCTTGCCCTAAATCGCAGGGTATTCATTTTAAATGTTTGTAGCTCGGTTCCAGAACACTCCAAATACCGGAAAAAAGTGGATTAAGTTCAGCAGAGGGTCGTCGGTTAAGATTGTAGGGCAAAAAATTGTGGGCGGAGCCTGCTCCGAGGTGGGCGGAGCCAGACAAAAAAGGTCTGTAAAACGGTTCCAGAATACTCCAGACACCGGAAAAAAGTGGATTAAGGTCAGCAGAGGGTCGTCGGTGAGGATTGTGGGGCAAAAACATTGTGGGCGGAGCCTGCTCCGAGGTGGGCGGAGTCAGACAAAAGATCTGTAAAACGGTCCCAGAGCACTTCAAAGACCGGAAAAAAGTGGATCAAGGTCAGCAGAGGGTCGCGGGTGAGGATTGTGGGGCAAAAACATTGTGGGCGGAGCCTGCTCCGAGGTGGGCGGAGTCAGACAAAAGATCTGTAAAACGGTCAGAGCTTCAAAGACCGGAAAAAAGTGGATCAAGGTCAGCAGAGGGTCGTCGGTGAGGATTGTGGGGCAAAAACATTGTGGGCGGAGCCTGCTCCGAGGTGGGCGGAGTCAGACAAAAGATCTGTAAAACGGTCCCAGAGCACTTCAAAGACCGGAAAAAAGTGGATCAAGGTCAGCAGAGGGTCGTCGGTGAGGATTGTGGGGCCAAAATATTGTGGGCGGAGCTTGCTCCGAGGTGGGCGGAATCAGACAAAAGATCTGCAAAACGGCCCCAGAGCACTTCAAAGACCGGAAAAAAGTGGATTAAGGTCAGCAGAGGGTCGTCGGTGAGGATTGTGGGGCACAAACATTGTGGGCGGGCCTGCTCCGAGGTGGGCGGAGTCAGACAAAAGATCTGTAAAACGGTCCCAGAGCACTTCAAAGACCGGAAAAAAGTGGATCAAGGTCAGCAGAGGGTCGTCGGTGAGGATTGTGGGGCCAAAATATGGGCGGAGCTTGCTCCGAGGTGGGCGGAATCAGACAAAAGATCTGCAAAACGGCCCCAGAGCACTTCAAAGACCGGAAAAAAGTGGATTAAGGTCAGCAGAGGGTCGTCGGTGAGGATTGTGGGGCACAAACATTGTGGGCGGGGCCTGCTCCGAGGTGGACGGAGTCAGACGAAGAATCTGTAAAATAGCTCAAGAGTACTTCAGACACCGGAAAAAAATGGAGTACAGAACAAAAGGGGGATATCAGTTGAATCTAGAAATATGTGAAAGAAAGCACGCGCGGCGAAGCCGCGCCCGCCCGGCGCAGCCGGGCCGTATCAGAAGGAGCCACGCCGGCGTCAGCCGGCGAGGCGACTGGTTATATAAAATAAACTACTCTAGGATCTATCTACTAATAAAATATAAAATAAATGAAAAATAATTATCTACTATAAAATGCTAGATGCTACTTCCACGCGGTCCTGGTTTTCAAATCCCGGGTCGACTCCCGCCCAGGCCAACCAAGCCTTCTACCCTCCGGGGACGGTAAATTGGTACCAGATTCGTCTGGGAGGATAAAACACTGACTTGTACATCGGCTGGCCCCGCAAGTCATTGTATAGGCCACATCGCATTCAATAAGCCACTACGATTCTGAATGGAAGTAGAATGCGTGCCGCATCCCACAGAAGGATCGATTACTACTTCTTCTTCTACGCAACACATATTTCAGTAGAACTATCAGAGAGAGCTTTTCGACTGTCCAAATTAGCGATCCAACCTGATTCGTAGAACATGAAATAGTGACCTATGAGCATTCAAATGCTTCCACGATCTCAACTGGCTAATGAATACACGCATCTTTGAGAACTGGTTTCCCTGTCACGTAAATTAACTTCTGTTTTTTATCAGTAGTTTCGTGTATGCGCTGTTAAAAACGCTGTCTGCATCGGAGCTATACGACCTTCAAGGCGAACGTTTTTGTACGAAGCCCTCCGATTCAGCCCTCCTCCGATCGTCTGACGGCAGCATACCGCCGTCAATCGATCGCATTTTATCAGATGATCGAGCCAACATGCAGCATAACTTCTACCATGTGTCAAATGCCGCTATTTTTAACATGTGCCAGTCATTTCCCATGCAGTCTCAGCTGTTATTGATCGTGTTTTTTGGACAGGTTGCATGCCTCAGTCATGGCTTTGTTGTGCTCTTATGTCAGGAATAAGTGCTAAAATGAAGGCGGAACAGCTGTTTGATCATGTTGATTGCCTGCTTGAAACTCATATTTACTGACTTCCCAGCACTGTTAAGCGCTGAGTTAAAGTACTCAGCAATTTGTGCACTTTTTTTTT